AATACCAGGACCGCGGAATCATCTTCACAGACCCTCACAGCATCCTTCCAGGATCAGGTATGTGCAGGTTCTGTTTGCCTGACTGGATGAGCCCAAGTCGATGGAGTGCAGCCTGGGAGGTGGCAGCTGAGATTTAGGGAGTCAGGATCTCTGTGTGAGGGAGGGATGGGAGGCAGCTAGCACCCCCACCTGACACCGACACCCGGGAGGGCTTGCCAGAGCAACCAGTTAGTAGTTGAGCTGGCGTTTCCCCTGGGCACTGATGTTTTCCCACTGTTGACAAGGCAGCAGGGATCCCAGCAGCCCCAGTGGTGCTGCAGGTACCAGCAGGGTGCAGGAACCCAGAGCCACCCCGCTGCGTCGCAAGTGCAGGTGGAGGCCGTTTGGGGCCCAGCGGCCCTTGTGTAGGGTTATCTTGCAGGGGCAGCTGTGGCCGGAAGAGGAGGCAAACCGGGGCAGGCCAGGAAACTCTGAAACTGTCCTTCAAAGCCCCCAGCACCATGCAAAGCTCAGCAGCTGCTTTTAACCAGGCAACAGTGCTGCCTGGGGAGGTCAGGAGCAGAGGCCAAATGTCCACAAACGTCCTGGACAAGGGACCTCAGACTCCCCAGCTCTGGGACGTGGAAGGGGAAATAGCCTAACTGCCTGGCTTTCCTGCTTCTGGAAGGAAACCCAGCAGCAACCCTCACCCAAACCAGGGGCACGAACTAGAGGCACAAGTGACTGATGTGGAACCCGAACGACGAAAAGAGAACAACCGTTTTAATATTTGGAAGTCTGGAGAAGACAAGACGTGTATGCAGCTGGAGAGGCCTCTTGTTTTCCATCGGCCTGGGGGGAGGGGCAGTGAGCGAATGTGGGGAGGCACCGGCAGCCAAGACCTGCAGCCCGAAGGAGAGGTAGGCTATTTCCAAAAGAGGCTCTGATGTGGGAGTATCCTAGGGTCAGCACTCTCCCGCAGCTCTGAAACCAGCTAGAGTAACCCGAAGCGTCTCCCCCCCCCCCCGCCCCCCAGCAGAAGGAAACGGCTGGCATTTCGCACACACAGCGACCGAGGCCGTGACACCCTCCCACTGCTCTCTTTCTCTGAACGGGAGTTCGCGCGTGGACGGGGTGGGGTGGGAAGCGAGCCAACGAGGGGAGAGCTAACTTCTGCCGCAGCTCTGACCTTCCGTGTAAGGTGGAGAAAGAACAATTTGTCTCAGAAGGGATCGGGTTGTGAGTTTCACACACCCAGCGGTTACTGGGTGATTAAAATTCCCTATCCCTGTGGCACCGTCCCGCCCACCTCTCTCTCCCCACCTTACCCTGCACTCCTGCGGGGAGGGGGAATGCTTTCCACCTGGAAGCCCTACCAAAAGTTCAGGATTCACGGGGTGATCTATTGGGTTTTGAGCCCTCCGCTCCTGGGAGCCTCCCCTCCAACCAAATGGCCACGGCACTGTAGATGTGGACGACTCCGATCTGACCCCGTGGCTCCTCGGGGCATTCAGATGGATTTATCGGCAGCTCGGCGGCTCGGAATTCCAACCTGCCCCCCATTGTCACAAGAGAACAAAGTTGTCGCACCCCTCTGGCCCACGCTGGGCAGGCGCTCTCCTCCCGCTGGGAGATGAGATGCGCTTCGGAGAGCCACGACCCAAACCTAACGCGGCAGTGCTGGAAGCCAAGTGCGGAGCCACCGTCACTCAGCCCGGGGACACCCGGGCCGACTCTGTGGCCGCCACCCGGGGGTTCGCCCGCGGGCTCCGTGCACCCCCCCGCCCGCGCTCAGACTTTCTTACCTCTTGATGTAGTTTCTGCCATACAAGATCTGTTGCAGCAAGGTCACCAAGGCGAAGGCGCAGATGAAGATGAAGAGTAAAGTTCGGTTCCCCAACAAATCCCGGTTCGCCGAGGGGTCGGCGTAGCGCATCCTGG